AAAGTTTGAAATTTTGAAGAAAACTTTATAATTTTTCTAAATTTCGTACAAAGTTTGAAACTTTTAAATATTAACTATTTAAAAAATTTTAATTAAAAAAATTCTACCTTTTTAAGTGGTGGTAAAGTTTGTTTTATGTTTTGCTTTACATTTTTTAGGAATATTTGTTCGCATTGAATTCGCAACAAGGCCGATTATTTGTCAGTATACCACATATATGTACGTAAATTTGTTAACTGCATTACTTTCGTTTTACACTTAAAAAACAAAGCCTGATGTTGACATTAGGAGTGATAATTCAGACTAAAGGCATACAAATATCAAAATTCTAACTTATGTTTAAATCTGTAAGATATTCAGTCTTTTGAATCAACTCCCATTGGGGTTTATATTAAATCAAGACTTTGGATTGACTAGACGTTTTACGAACTAAGGAATGATTCTCGATATTTAAACTTACATACAAGCGGACGTTATGCGAATATCCATCAAATGGTTCATTGGGTTGATGTACCTTTTTTAAACTCAAGAAACCAGCTCAGTCCGTGATCCACCAACAGTGTTACTATTTCCGCTGTNCTAGACGTTTTACGAACTAAGGAATGATTCTCGATATTTAAACTTACATACAAGCGGACGTTATGCGAATATCCATCAAATGGTTCATTGGTTGATGTACCTTTTTTAAACTCAAGAAACCAGCTCAGTCCGTGATCCACCAACAGTGTTACTATTTCTGTTGTTGTTGTTGTTAATTTCTTTAGAAGCATGCTTATTCGATTCATTTGTTAAAGCAAGCAGTGTAACAGTCGGAGATGGATTTGTACCGCTATTTTGATCTGAACCATGTGTAGTGTTTTCTCTTGTTGAAATCTCCGATGCCGTGCTAACATTGGAATCTTCATATTGTAGGACAGTGTGACTCAATGGAGAAACAATATGATGAAGTGCTGGTAAGATGATTGGTGCAAAAATAGCGTTTAGATCAAGTGTTTGTTGCAGCATTCGCCACGAAGCCATAAATACTGCTTTGACACGTTCAAAAGTTTCGAAATCATACACCGACCTTGCTGTATTTGTTAAATCAAAAGGTTCTATGATAAAAAAAAAAACNCAATGGAGAAACAATATGATGAAGTGCTGGTAAGATGATTGGTGCAAAAACAGCGTTTAGATCAAGTGTTTGTTGCAGCATTCGCCACGAAGCCATAAATACTGCTTTGACACGTTCAAAAGTTTCGAAATCATACACCGACCTCGCTGTATTTGTTAAATCAAAAGGTTCTATGATAAAAAAAAAAAAAAAAAATTGCAAATCACATCGTATGACATCCTTGAATTAATATTTTTACCTTCAATACAGAGCTCCTTCCATTGGTGGATATCATTTTTCGACGACTTCGCTAGACGACAGACATTAATTGGCAGGATACCACCAGTACGAATTGAGATTGCAAACTGAGCGTAACTAATAAAAAAAAATAGTGAATACAATTAAAAATCCATGTTAAAAACACTAGTAACCATATTACTTACTCGAAACAACTATAATATTCTAGAAAATACAGAAAAAGTTCACCGATAGATTGCGTATTTTTTGATTCATATGACCCAATGGTCTCGTTCATGTCCACGTATCCAAAGTCATTTGATCGCAGCTGAAATAATAATAAAATAGATACGAAGCGAAGTGTTATTAAAGTGTAACGACGTACTTATGATTTAGGAAATTTCAGAACTTAGGCAGCAGTTTCGGTAACAGCGATTTTTATCCTGCGTACATTGGTTAAGTGGCTCACCGAAACCACAACATACCAAATGTAGGCATTTCACTGTCGAAGTGATGTCGTGTGAATAAAAATCGCTTATAGAGAATTTAAGTCGCAAATGGCTCCTCGATGGGTATGG